TTTGTGTCCTATATTTGCTTTCAACTTCTGTCTTGTTGAGGAAGACTTTTCACAGGTATGGTTCATTTAACAAAAAAAAGCACCAAACAAACAAACAAAACCCCCCAAAAACCACCAAAGCTGGTTTAGATGGTTTAGTTCTTAAAAAACACCGAACATATATACATATATTGACCTGGACAGGCTGGAAAGTTGGGCAGAGAGGAACCTGATGAGGTTCTACAAGGGGAAGTGCAGGGTCCTGCACCTGGGGAGGAACAACCCCATGCATCAGTACAGGCTTGGGGTGGACCTGCTGGAGAGCAGCTCTGTGGAGAGGGACCTGGGTGTCCTTGTGGACGACAGGTTAATCATGAGCCAGCAGTGTGCCCTGGTTGCCAAGAAACCTAACGGGATTCTGGGATGTATTAGGAGGGCTGTGGCCAGCAGATCAAGGGAGGTTGTCCTTCCCCTCTAGTCTGCCCTGGTGAGGCCTCATCTGGAGTACTCTGTCCATTTCTGGGCTCCCCAGTTCAAGAAAGATGAGGAGCTACTGGAGAGTGAGTGTCCAGCGGAGGGTTACGAGGATGGTGAAGGGACTGGAACATCTCTCCTACGAGGAGAGGCTGAGGGAGCTGGGCTTGTTCAGCCTGAAGAAGAGAAGGCTGAGAGGGGACCTAATTTATGCTTGCAAATATCTGAAGGGTGGGTGTCAGGAGGATGGGGCCAAACTCTTTTCAGTGGTGCCCAGAGACAGGACAAGGGGCAGTAGGCACAAACTGAAGCATAGGAAGTTCTGTCTGAACATGAGGAAGAACTTCTTCCCTCTGAGGGTGATGGAGCCCTGGAACAGGTGACCCTGCTTCGGCAGGAGGGTTGGACTAGATGACCCACAGAGGTCCCTTCCAACCCCTACCATTCTGTGATTCTGGTATAAAATTAAGAAACCCTATATTAGAATGCGGTCATTTGGCTGCCTGTGTACTGAGGACCATGGGAATGTGGAGGATGACCCTGCTTGTTAGGAAACCTCCTGATTCTCATCTGTTTGCTTGTGTCCTGGAGAGAGATGAACAAAATCCACTGCCTCTGTTTAGAAGCTGTCCGTGTCCTTTAAGTAATGAATATTTATATGCAAAAACTGTGTTATGGAAGACTAAAATAAATGATACTTGCATTTCTTATGGTTACTGATGTGTTTGTATGGCTTAGGGTTTTACTGATTTTCCCCCACCCAAGACTTTGTTGAACTGGTAGGTTTCACAGATGAGAGACTCAGCCAGCCTTTCAGATCCATTTTAACAGCCATTCCTTGCTCAGATTTGTAGGGATTTACTACGCTTTCCAGTATAAAAAGAACTAAGGCTTTTCAGATGTGAGAGAAATCTGAATGGTACTGTTTAATCAGTCCAATAAACACTTCTGGATAAATCTGGCTTTGTGAGTATCTTAAGCAATAACAGCATTAGTTGTGTTTGTGCTTCAGTTGTTGATTGGCGTTTCTGAATGTTACTGAAATGCAAATAATGCTCAGAAGGTGTGTTAATAGGTTTAATAAATTTAGAACCAAGTAAATGAAACTTGAGTTTTCATTTTTGAAAGGACTGTTGCAATGAAATGCTAGATTTCTCAGAGGTGCTGAACGTGATTGAGGTGTATTTTGCCACTTGAGGAAATGTGCCTGTAACACTACCGTAATAGGATTATAAAAGGCAGTATAATTATAAAGAGTAGTGGTATAATTAATAAAGGGTTAAAACATCAATGTGGATATTTGCATTGAAATAAATAAGGTCCCTTGGAAGCTGTAATTGTGCTGGTAAACTTAACAATCTAGATAAACCCGAAGCTGTATGTGATCGATGCATGGTGTTGTGTAATTTGATGGTGGAGCCCTTTAGCAGGAATTTCTAAGTATGTGGAGGTGTAAGTACATTCCAGTTTTTTCTTGAATGGGAACATGGTGTTCATCTCTTCCTTTTCTCCCTCCGTTCCTGAGGGACTTGTCAGCATGAGCCTGGTGAAAGTATTGAGAGCAAATCACGTCTGAAGATGTATTAGAGATCATGCGATGGTGATGAATGGGCCATCTCTTGCTCCCTTTTAGGTTATCTGGCGTTAGGAGCTGTGATACTCACTGGGAAAGGAGTCTCATCCCAAAAGCACTGGCTTTTGATATTGTCTCTTGAAAGCAGTGTTTGTGTGTTGGGAGAAGGAATGGAGGCTGAAGAAGCACACTTGCAGTGTTCGAGTCTGTCATTTGGCTGGTATTAGAAAATAAAAGGCAGCAGTAGATGGAGACAAAGGTTTCCTTCCTTATTAGGCTGCTAGGCTCAAATAAATAAAGATTTTTCACAAGAGTGTCTGCTAGGCTTCACTAGATAACACTTGATTTTGTTTGTGGAGGACTTCTGTTGTCATCTACATCAATATATTTTGCAGCAAAAGCAAGTATTTTTTCCTAATGCTTAGTATGGCTTGAGTATTCTTGTGTGGCCACATTGCTGCTTACCTTGCTATCATGCTTTCCCTGTCATTACTGTATTTGCCAGGTAAAAAAGTGCATCAGCACAGATAGTACTCACCCTCCCCAGACTCGACTTAGGAAAGTTCAGTTTCCTTCTTTGTACAGAGTATGCCTTTTTCCAACTGAAAGTGTAGCTACTGTACCTGTTAGTTGTCAGAACCACTACTGTATTGAATGTTTTTCCCACCAGGTTGTTACGTGTGAATATTCATCTACAATTGGACTTCATGGTAGACTTCATTTTCCTTGGACTGTACACACCACAGAGCGTAGTTCAGTCCTGGTTTATAAAGAGACCAAGACTGAATTTAGTGGAAGTCTTTAATGTAGTTCGTGTTTTAATGCTCGTTACTACCACTGTTACAAAAATGGGGAATGAGGTTTAATTAGAGTATATAGAGCTGTAAAATGAATTGATTAAGTAGGAGAAAGAGAGAAGTTTAGGAGTGAGTTTGTCATTAAGAGAGAAGTTTAAGAGTGAGTTTGTCATTAAGTGTTTACATGACAGGCAGCGCAGATCTTCACAGGGTGGCTGTCTTCTGAAAGAAGTTCAGGTGGAATGCTCAACAAGAAAATTTTGGGGTTTGTTTTCACCCCCCACCCCCCTCTGCTTTTCAAATGTGTGTATCTCTGTGAAGGGGGAGGGGGGAAGCCTAGTGTTGTCTAGTACAGGTTTAGCTGTAAGATTTCCAAGGTTGGGTGTTTTTTATTTGGCGGTACTATGTAAATACAATGAATAGTGTTTTCTGTAGCAAATTCTCTGGTTTGTTTTCTGAAGGCTGTATCTGGTAACTTCCTAAAGAATTTGGTCAGTATACAGAGCAACTTTTGTATTCTGGTAGTCAAACAGTTGAGTTCCAGCTCTGTTAAAGAGCTATGTTAAATCTTGCTGGTCCAGTAAAATAGACATTTAAACTTTTTTTTGTAATCTTGAGGTCAAAGCCAATCCCTTCTCTCACTGGCAACAAGAAAATTCGTTGTCCATTATTTTTCTTTATATTGAGGCAGTAGTTCAGCCAGCTTTTCCTCACTGTGATACTTTGTCGGTAATATTACTATCCTTCTGTGACCATTTGTAAAAAGTTCTAAAACCTGTAGATGTCTGCATGATAGTTCTAGTAAGATGTTTGAGCCAATACATCTGCAAGTCACTTTACTGTTTTTCTCTAATACCTCAGCCTTCTGAATCTTTGTATGTAATTTAGTTACAAGTCATCTGGCTATAAATATTTCTTTAGCTTTTAGTACCTGGATCTGATAGGTGTCTAACAAGTCCGATATTTTGCTGCTTTTAAGTCATTAAAAACAGAATTTCTGCAAAAGGCACTATTTCAAAACATCTGTTTGTTGTGAATTTTTTCCACCAGACTGAAATGCCTGTGATCTGCTGTGAGCAGACCATTAACGATCTTTTTTTTTTAATAACAGTGAAAAGAAAAGGCACAATTTGTTTCTTTACTTGCAAGGAGTAGGGAGGAGGTTGAATTAAAACTGAGTAAATGAATTACTAAGGTGTAGATGCAATTGTAAGATAATTGTGTAAATCAGTGTCCAATTTTTCTTCCTGCAAATTATACAGTGTGAGACACAACTGTGTACAAAAGCATTAGTAGCTTTCTTGTAACTATTTATGCAAATAGCAGGGAGACTGCAGACAAAAACTAACATGTGCTTTGCTGACCATTTAGGTACTGTAAAATATCAGCCCTACTTGTCACCCCACTTACTACTGGCCCGCTGAGCCAGATGTGTTGTGATGGGCTTTTTGTTACATAAAACAGCAAAAGTAGCAGCTGGAGTCACGGAGGGTGTTCTGAACTCTGATTTTTAAATAAAGATTTCACATCTTTCCCCCACTCTGGTCTGGTTGGTTGTTTTTTTCATTTTTTTAACTGTGTTTCTCTTTAGTTCTTGAAGAATGTTTGTATAATGTCTTTCTTTGCTGTAGAGCTCCAAACAGGTTACAGATCTTATTTATTGTGAAATATAATCTTAACTGGGTGTGTATTTGAAAATACTCCATTTTTGGAGTCACGTAGCTGTGTGTGTATTTATCCATGTGTATGTATGTCTATAGAAATACATAGGTGTATATGTGTGTGTAGTCCAGTTCTTAAAATTAAGTTGTCCTTAGCAATTTATCAGCTTTTGAATTCTGTCTTTGCTTCCAGATGTGGTTGTAAGTTGTAGAACAATACTTCACCTGTGGAAATCTATATTTGCGATAATTCCCTGTACTAGTGCTAATGAGCTGCTTTTCTTTCTGCCTAATGCAAGTGCAGATCACTGTCTTTCCTCCCCCAACACATCCCCTCATAGTTTGTGGGGGTTTTTTTCTTTTTGTTAAATTATGTGTCTTGGAAACAGTTTTCCAGTAAGTTCTAATGATGTTTATGTTTTGCTTCCAGTAGGAATTTGAACTGAAATTATTCATCCACTTCTCTGAGCCTTTTGAAAAGTGACTAAATGCAACTGAGTCAGATTGCCTGTGGGAATGAAGTGGCTGGGAGAATCCAAGAACATGGTGGTGAATGGCAGGAGAAGTGGAAGCAAGTCATCTAATGACCATGCGCAGAATCAGACCAAATTGCAGCATGCAGGAAAGGAAAATCCGAAGATGGGCAAAAATGGAGTTGAGAGAAGATCAAGTAGATGTATGTACATGTTTATGTGGCTTAGTGCTGTATGTGATTCATCTGTCAATTTGCAAGTCAGGCTTCTGTCTTGTCTTAATTCATGAAGGAGGTCTGCATTCAGCATGTAGCTATCATCAGAAGTATTATTTTTGTATTTGTTGGATGTGTTAACTCACTTCAGAAGTATAGATCTCTTCAGATCAGTTTAAAAGTTAAGTGAGAATAACTGGGTATAAATTAAATTTGAACGGGTTTAAGTTTAAAATACATGATTGACACTAAGTGTGAACGAGTGTGATCAGAAGTGGATAACATATAATTTGAATTACTAGCCCAACTCTTCATGAATGCCCGTGTAGAAGTAAATCCCATTTTGAATGAAGTCATGTATATCAGTAGTCCTTATGAAACAATTTTAAGGAATATGGGTTTTTATTTTTGCTGTTGGCCTGGGATGAAGGACCAAATTAGAAATTCAGAGTAAGTCCTTTATTTGGTTTTTGGGAAAATAAGTTTTGAAATTTTCGTGGCTTCATGACATTTATAGGTCAGAAATTCTAGAGGCAGGGATGACTGGACTGCATAGTCTGGAGAGATGCTTGTAGTTGGGGAGGTGGAGAAGGAAACCAAAATTAATTAGACACCCATAAAATACATTCTGAAATAGTTTCTTCATTGGCTGCTACATAAATGAACAATAAGAAGAGTGAAAAATTAACTGTGCTTCTGCTTCTTCAAGTATTTTATCATCTTGCTTAATTATTCTGTATTTTTTTCTCCAACCTGTGGCTGGCTGTCCCCAAGTGGGACTAGACTTTCTAATATTCCTGAAATGATACCTAATTTATGCTTTCTTATTTGCAGGTAGCGGTGCTTCAGGATTTGAGGGTCAAAGTCGTTACGTGCCTTCCTCTGGAATGTCTGCCAAGGAACTGTGTGAAAATGATGACCTAGCAACTAGTTTGGTTCTTGATCCCTATTTAGGTTTTCAGACACACAAAATGAATACTAGGTAACTTGTCTTTATTTTTCTAGAAAAGAAGTGATCTTCTTAGTGGATGTAATTAGAGCAAAACTGTGGAATTTCTTGCATGTTTATGGAAGTCTGAAAAAACAGCGATTTGTGAGTAGCTTCTGCATTTAAAGTGGTGATGCATTTGAGACTGGAACTTGGAGCTCTGTAGCAGCGTGTATTTGTAGCGCTGTCATAGGTTTGTTAGCCCTCGTGTGTTTATGCATTATAACAGGTTAATAGACACTGTTTCCTAGCTTAAACAGTTAACTAATTATAAGTTTTAAACCATTAGTTATTTGAAATATTTCAAATAGGCAGTGTTTGCGGATTTTTCTGTTCATTTGGTGTACCTGGGTGCTTTTTTCCTTTTTTTTTTTTTTTTTTTTTCTGACTCATGACATCACAACAAAGATATAGTTCCTGAGCACTTCAGTGTTGGTGCCAGTTGGTCTTAAGTTCTTGCAGACCCATGCTGAAGGAGTGCTGTTTGAACATGTCTGTCTGTATAAGACAAATTAATGGGCGCACTGGGAGCTTGCTTAGCAGAATTGCACATAGTTTTACACTGTTCTGCACCTGTCTGAATACTTCTGGTCTAAATTCAGTGTGGTCTTAGGGTTTAGTTTTCGCATGCTTCTTCCAGTTTTAGACATGCTTACAGAGTGTAACTATATTCTATAGATCTCTGTTAAGTTTTTATTTGCGTACAAGATCTGCATTGCTAGCTTAGTGGAGGGGGTATATATAAAGGATAAGTTTCTAAGGACAGGAATCATGTGCTGCTTATTATACAATAATAAGAGCTGGGGTTTCCAGGCAGCACATCATGGGAAACGGGCTGCTCAACCCTTTAAAAATAGCAACAGCAACAGTTTGAAGAAGAACAGTTCACCTGTGCAGCATAGTCACATAACCAGTGTGTCAGTCAAGTAGATTTTTGTATTTATGTAACAAGCTGATTGCTTCAAAAATGACTGCTAGGTTAATTGGTGTTGTTGCATAACATAAATGCTTGCTGATATAACCTGATGGCATGAGTTGCACATGGAATTGTAGCACTGTGCTCCTAATAACTGTAAAGACTTACTTCAAAGAGATTTTTTTTTTTTTGATGGAAAGTGCAACATCTATCTTTTAAGAGGAATGCTTGAGTTCTTGCTGTTCCTCCATGCTATTGGTAACAATAGCACATTGTGCTCAGAACAGTGTCTAGATAGATACTCTTAACGGTTCGGAGTGTCTTTGTATTTCCACCAGTTAATCAAGCTAAATGTATATAAGAGTTGGGGCTGTTCAGCCTGGAGAAGAGAAGGCTGCAGGGAGACCTTATGGCAGCCTTCTAGTACCTGAAATGGGCCTACAAGAAAGCTGGAGAGGGACTGTTTACAAGGGCATGTAGTGATAGGACAAGGGGTAATGGCTTTAAACTGAAAGAGGGAGTGTTCACTGGCAGTGTTCACGGCCAGGTTGGATGGGTCTTTGAGCTCCCCGGTCTAGTGGAAGATGTCCCTGCCCATGGCAGGGGGTTTGGAACTAGATGATCTTTAAGGTCCCTTCCAACCCAGACCATTTTATGATACTTGCTCAAAAGACTTTCTTGTTATGTTGCATGAATGGTAGTCTGCAGGTTATGCACAGGTAATTAATTCTTATGCTTTTTGCTACGGAAACAATGTATTCATTGTTTAATAGTTGGAGAAGCTACTTTCATAAATGTTGTTTTCTGCTGATATGTTTTAAACATCTAAAATACTTTTTTAATTACTAGTTTGAATCAGAAGGCTACACAAAGGTTATCAGCATTTATTTCTTTATTTCTCAGACTTGGAGAAACAGTTACAGGCAGTCTTCAAGGACAGTAGTTAATGATCTTGGAGCACTGTGGGAAATACTTAGGTGAGGCTTACAGTGTTTGCCAGAAACACATCTTCTTACCTCTTTCATAATGTCCTGTTGAGAGAGTTTCTATTGTTGCAATGAATTAAGATAAAGGCATTAGCGTAGTTCTTGTTGATCTTTTTGGTACAGTGATGACATCTGCTTGTTATTGTAGCTGTGATGCTTAGATCATCTTTTTTCCGTCTAGTAAGCTATCATCTTTCTAGAGTTCCTGAGATTTATTGTTGTATGGCTTTGAGGGAAGGCGGGAGAAAGCGAATATGAAAAGACTAGACTGTTTTCAGAATACTGGATGCCAGTACCCGAAGACACAATTGTAGTAGAAATTAAGATTCACAGATTACATTTGGACATATTCTGCTTCAGTGTGATGAAGTCATACTAGTGCAAGGCATTCGACACTGTCCCACGTGATGTCCTTGTCTCTAAATTGAAAGGACATGGATTGGACAGATGGACCACTCGTTGGATAAGGAATTGGCTCGATGGACGCACTCAGAGTTGCAGTCAGCTCTCCAGGTGGAGACCAATGACGAGTGGTGTGCCTCAGGGGTCGGTACTGGGGCCGGTGCGGTTCAATATCTCTGTCGGCGACATGGACAGTGGGACTGAGTGCACCCTCAGCAAGTTTGCCGACGACGCCAAGCTGTGTGGTGTGGTTGACAGGCTGGAGGGAAGGGATGCCATTCAGAGGGACCTTGACAGGCTTGAGAGGTGGGCCTGCATGAACCGCATGAAGTTCAGCAAGGCCAAGTGCAAGGTCCTGCGCGTGGGTTGGGATAATCCGAAACACAAGTACAGGCTGGGCAGAGAGTGGCTCGAGAGCAGCCCTCAGGAGAAGTACTTGGGGGTACTGGTAGATAAGAAGCTCAATATGACTGGCAGTGTGCACTTGCAGCCCAGAAAGCCAACCGTATCCTGGGCTGCATCAAGAGAAGCGTGGCCAGCAGGTCGAGGGGGTGATTTTGCCCCTTTATTCCACTCTCGTGACACCCCACCTGGAGTACTGCATCCAGCTCTGGAGCCCGCAACATAAGAAGGACATGGATGCGTTGGAGCAGGTCCAGAGGAGGGCCACGAAGATGATCAGAGGGCTGGAGCACCTCTCCTATGAGGACAGGCTGAGGGAGTTGGGGCTGTTCAGCCTGGAGAAGAGAAGGCTCCAGGGTGACCTTAGAGCAGCCTTCCAGTACCTGAAGGGGGCCTACAGGAAGGATGGAGATGGATGGATAAGAGCCATTTATGGTGGCAAGCAAGTATTTCCTGTTGCCTTGTTCTGATTTGTTTGAAGACATACTGTGGAAGTGACTGTGCCAGCATTCTGCTTTTCTGTTGGAAACGCATAAGAGGTTTGTATTTTTGCAGCTAGCCGCTCAGCATAAGTTGATGACCACTTAGTGAAGTTGTACTTCATCTTACTTCTGCAAGCCAAGTCTGTATTTTTGTATGTGTGTCTTCTATTTAAGCACTTTCTGTACTTCATTCCTTTAGTTGAAGGGTTTGTATAGACCTCTTGTTTTGTCCAGAGTATATTGGTTAGAGGAAAAAAACCTCATAACATTCTAGTAAAATATCTGGATTATTGTTGGAAAGTCTTTGTTTTCCATCTCCTTTGTGCTGAATTAGTGATGTTATGGTAGAGTAAAAGCCTCTTTTTTTTTTTTTTTTTTTTTTTCTGGGGGAAATAAAAATAAAGTCCTGCAATTCCTGAGTGCCCTCCATCTTGGGAAATGGGCCGTTAGCTCTGTAAGCTGTCAAGTCAGTAACATGTGAAAGAGCTGAAGACTAGTTCTTGAAAGATTGTAGTCAGATCCCCCAATGAGTTTGTCCGGTGTTCCTCTGAAGTATCTTCTTGTCACTAGGGATTTGATGGACAGCGTGAAAGGTAGCTCTGGAAATGTCTTCAGTGGCTTTACCCAAAAGTAACTTTTTTTTCATCCTCTTGGATTTCCAAGAGACAGTAGGTTGTTTCAGAGCTTCTGACCCTCTTCACAGGCCCTGTGGTCATTCTTTCATCAAATTGATAGCTCTTATCTCAACAAAATAGCAGGTTAGCAGTTAATAAAAAAATAAAACCCATACGTTAGGAAGTACAACCGTGTCGAGTATAGCTGTTCTAAGAGGTTGTTGCTTCTTATACAAATCCTGTTACATCAGACCTTTTTTTTTTTTGTGACAAAAGCTATCCTGGCTTTAAAAGTTACTTAGTCTTGCATGCCTGCCCTATTTGTAAAAACAAAACTGATTTTTGCAAGCTATTACTTCCTTGGTTGTAGATTGTCTGACACTGGATATTGAAACTGGTACTTACATAAAGCGAAGTGAGTTCTTGCTTATCTTACCACCTTCTATTTTTGGATGAGCGCTGAATCTTGGAGTTGCACGCATTAATGGTTAATCCACTCTTTACTATCTTGCGTACAAATGTGTTAGTATTTAAATCTTAAGCCAGATTCCTGATCATACTGGTGGTGTTACCAGTCACTGTTGTTTCCTGGTTCCCTAAAGCACCAGCATCATGCTAGGGAATACTGAGAGCAGTTCCAATGTCTTTCTAAGTTTGCAAGTGATTTAGGACGTCAAACGCATTGTAGTCTGTTTTAGGAGAATCTGGAGGTGTTTCCTAAGTCTATACTGCTGCTTTCAGTGAAGTTAAACAGATGTGTGGTGCGAGTGATTGTCTGGTAACATGAGTCTAAAGGACCAATTTCCGTATTTTCCATAGCAAACGTAAAGTGTGGGTATGATTTGTGGGAAGCTGCTTGCTCTCAATGCTGCACCGAGAGCAATTGCCAGTCTTGGTGTAAACCATCAGTCATTTGTGAACTTGACAGAGTATGTCACTCTTTGTCCCTTAGCACCACTGCTGAGAAATAAAGACAAAAAGGCAACACAGTTCCATACCACTTCCATTCGTGGGTCTGTGCTGAATCTCTTCTATGCTCCTTAGCTCATTTCAGTATAATAATTTAAGGGCTCAGCATTCATCCTGAATGGCGTTTGGAGGTAGAACAAGCTGTGGCTTCTGCTAAATAAGGTGACATGGCTATATAATTCAACTTCAGTGTTGTGGCACTGTGGAGTTACTGGCTTAGAGA